GGTTAAATACCTCTTAATGCCTATGAGCTCAGAGATAAGGAGATAAGTAGTGCTTGATTTGTGGGAATTGTTGAGGTAATGCTATATGTCGCTAAATTAGGCCTGTAGTCACCTGATGACTCACCTGTAGTAATCAGATTTTTTCTATTTTTAGCATTTAGTGAATTGTCTTGAATTGTCTCAAGCCTTTTATACTGGGGTGCGCACAGTTGTTTTGTGTGTGTGTGGGGGGGGGGAGTGTTGGAGGGCAAAGTGCAAAGTTTGTGAGTTTGTGGCATCAAAATAAAACAATATCCAAAAAATACTCATGTGTATATACATGTATACATATACAGTGGTGTGAAAAAGTGTTTGCCTCCTTTCTGATTTCTTATTCTTTTGCATGTTTGTCACACTTAAATATTTCAGATCACCAAACAAATTTAAATATTAGACAAAGATAACTCAAGTAAACACAAAATGCAGTTTATAAATGAAGGTCTTTATTATTAAGGGAAAAAGAAATCCAAACCTACAGGGCCCTGTGTGAAAAAGTGATTGCCCCCTCCATTAAAACTTAAATTAACTGTGGTTTATCACATCTTTGGAAAGCTGAGTTCTGCGATCCAAAGAAATTCAGGAACAAATGAGAAACAAAGTGTTTGAGATCTATCAGCCTGGAAAAGGTTATAAAGCCATTTCTAAAGCTTTGGGACTCCAGCGACACACAATGAGAGCCATTATCCACAAATGGCGAAAACATGGAACAGTGGTGAACCTTCCCAGGAGTGGCCAGCCGACCAAAATTACCCCAAGAGCGCAGCGACGACTCATCCAAGAGGTCACAAAAGACCCCATAACAACATCCAAAGAACTGTAGGCCTCACTTAAGGTCAGTGTTCATGACTCCACCATAAGAAAGAGACTGGACAAAAATGGCCTGCATGGCAGAGTTGCAAGACGAAAACCACTGCTGAGCAAAAAGAACATAAAGGCTCGTCTCAGTTTTGCCAGAAAACATCTTGATGATCCCCAAGACTTTTGGGAGAATACTCTGTGGACTGATGAGACAAAAGTTGAACTTTTTGGAAGGTATATGTCCCATTACATCTGGTTTAGAAGTATCACAGCATTCAGAAAAGGAACATCATACCAACAGTAAAATATGGTGGTGGTAGTGTGATGGTCTGGGGCTGTTTTGCTGCTTCAGGGCCTGGAAGACTTGCTCATTGCCAATTATCACAAACGCTTGATTGCAGTTGTTGCTGCTAAGGGTGGCCCAACCAGTTATTACGTTTAGGGGCAATCACTTTTTCACACAGGGCCCTGTAGGTTTGGATTTCTTTTTCCCTTAATAATAAAGACCTTCATTTATAAACTGCATTTTGTGTTTACTTGTGTTATCTTTGTCTAATATTTAAATTTGTTTGGTGATCTGAAACATTTAAGTGTGACAAACATGCAAAAGAATAAGAAATCAGAAAGGAGGCAAACACTTTTTCACACCACTGTATATAAATGCATATATACTTTTTTAGGGTTTTTATATTTTATAACATTACACTAGAATATGTTAGGAAAACACATCAAAACTGTTTTTAAGAGGAAACAATTTTAAGAGGAAAATATGAATTAGTATAAAAATAAATTAATATACTATAAGTATAAAAATATGTTTGTTTTCTCATTAGGTGAGAAGGCAGAGTTAGGGTCACTTTCCGGTGGGCTAAATCCAATGTCCTTACGTGCCAGCTTTGGCCCTCAGGCCACACTTTAGGCACCCCTGCTTTAGTACATAGTTTCTGATATGACAAGCTTAAAAATAGTTTGTCAAAAAAAAGAAATTTGCACAGTTTCGCCCTTACCCCAAATATGGTCAGTCACCCAAAATCTTCATACACAACTTCTGAAGCGCTTCTTTAGTTTTTCTCTTGAGCTACAAGGCTAACAATTACCTCAATTAGCATTGAGCTAACTGCCTAAATCCTTAAACACTTGCCTCAAACTGTGCCAGGTTGTTAAGTAATCTCATACAGACTTGCTTATCTGTGTTCTGACACTGTATGACACATTTTTATCTATAAAAGCAGACAACATTCGGACAAAATTCAGGCTTCATGATGGCTGTTACTGCTTTTAGCTATGCAGTGTACTTTTGTCCAAGTTTATAGATCACAGTATGTTATACAATGACAGAAACCTCTAATTGAAATGACCTAACAGCTCTACAAGGTTTGAAGTATGTACTTTCGTCCTTTTTCAGTCTTGCTAACAGCTATGCTAACTGCTTCCATTACATGTTGGCTGCATTCGCCTCGTAGCTCCAGTGCAAAACCAGCCTGATTTTGGGCAAACAGGTTTTGTAATAAGGAGAAAAATCCTTGTTTATTCCATTTCCGAACTTAGCAAATATTCCAAACTGAGATTCTCAGACAGTCAAACCCAGAGTGGTGTTTGGGTCTGAAAGCTGGTTCAAGGTATTATTTGTGTTGTGGGCTTGAGTTTCAAACCACAATAACAGCTGTTCCAACCGCAGTCACAATAAAATGCAGAAGTATGGTGAATAGTGGATCTGGATTTTACCACCTGTTTCTGGCACTGCGACCAAACACTTTGCCTGGTGATCTAAAGGTAAATCCACCTCTAGTGGTGTCGAAGTGAACTGCTGCTTCCTGCAGCTCCTGTAGAATAGACTGACCTCTGTGTGTACATCTGTTAGCTTTTTTAAGGGAATACTCCAGCGTTGTTCAACCTGATCTCTCTCTGCTGCATCTTTAGCATATGCTTGATCACCACACACCATAAGTTTGATATGTTTCCATGAATTCAGAAAAGAACAGAAAACCCACTGACTCAAAACAGACTTGTAATAGAAGCGAATGAGCAGGAGCTCCAACTGGGTTTCCTGTTGTTTTGTAAGCACGGGGAAACGCACAGAAGTTATTGTCTGTGGTATTCAACAGTACGAAAAAGGTGCGGCAGATGGAGATTATGATGGAAAACAGTGAAGTATTGCAGGAATTGTTTGCTTGGATTCACAATAGCACTCGTTTTTGTTTTTTTTTCATTTATTTAACCCCTTAAATAGCCAGGGCCTGTTGACAGGCCCAAAGTTTATTACACACTTCTATAACCTACAAATATCTCAACCAGTTTGCACTGAAGTCCCTGTACTTATTGAACAATGAGCCTTAGTGTGTTATAAGCCTGGGATTTTAAGGGGTTAAGATTATTTATTGTTTGAAAGCACTTGGCTTTGGGTCCATACATAACATTTAGATCAAACAGTAATAAGGTTTATTTGCTTTTAATTGTATCTTGTTGGAGATAAGAAACCCCTGATATTATGTGATTAAGTTCTCATTCTCTGTTTATTGTAACATTGTTCCCAGCACAAGCACAGTAATCAACAATAGCTGCTTTGTTATTGTATATGAGTCACAGTTTGAAACAATAATAAGCTGTAATGTTACTTTCTTTGTAAGTGTAGATACAAATACATCATGGCTTCTGGTTCTCAGTCTCAGTTTTTGTGTTTTTTACTCATAAGGCCTGATTTAAGGTGGCTGTTTTCATGAAATATGAATTTCTCAGCCACTAGGTTGGGCTGTTTAGCAAACTTTCTCTCAAGCGCTGGAAAAATGACGTGACAGTAGACATAATAAAAGGGGAATTCTACTGATCGTTTAACCTAATTTAGCATAATTTAGTCATTGAGGTGTAAACAGTCATTCAGAGTGGTTTGCTGTGAAATGGTTTACTGTAGAGAAACTTACTGACTCAGATTTCTTTTACAGTGGTGGTGATAGAAACCAGGGGTCACCATGACTACAACATTAAAAAATAGCCATTTTATTTATGATCCAAAATGACCAGGGAGCCTGAGTGTTCTAAGTTTTTATATGTAATGATGATGATGATGATGATGATGATAAAATAGTGGTAAATCTGAAAAAAGTACATTTTGTTTGGGCACAATTTTGCCTTGCAATGCCATACATGTACCCCTCTGCCATGAAAACATATGTTTAGGGTCAAAATCTTATATCAAAACTGTCATGAAAAAACAATATCTTAAAATCTGTTTGTAACCATTTCATATAATACATTTCTGTAAGGTTTTAGTGGCATTAAACTGTTCAGACGTCTCGTTCCCATCACCACCACTGTGAACAGTTCTGGCTCTGCAAGTGTCTCTAGAATGAAGCGCCTAACAGCAAACCAATCTAAATCTTACTGATTTAATTATGCAGAACTTTTGAAAGATCAGTGGAATTTCCCCTATAATCATATAATAATAATAATAATAATTATTATTATTATTATTTTATTATTATTATTATTATCATCAAATCTTCCTCATATTCTTCTGTCACGTAACGCCTCTACTGAGAGGTATGTAGCATGCTTGCAATGTTTTATACATAGTCGACTAGTAAGGCCACTGAAATTTTTCTTCTTTATCATGTTTTATTTAATGCTGTTCGTGTATAATTTTGTCAGTTTTATTTCCAGTCATTATACCAAGCTTTCCAAAACTGGTAAGAGGCAGTCCATTCAACACACTCTTGGCCTACTTTGATCAGAAAATACTGTTTGAGGATTATAGTGTAAGGTGATTTGTTCGAGCCCACCTAGGTGGTCAGAAATGAGGGAGGGGGGCCTTTCACTGCTACAGAGGAGCCTTGATGATTCGATTCCATTTGACTTCGGGCGAATCGATTTGCAAACGAGTCTGCGCTGTGCTTTCCCAAGGCCTATTTAAGAGACCATATGCTGCTGTTTCTAGTTAAAGCTAATATCTTGACACTGTACGGGGATTTTCCATCCGCTGTGTGGTCAGAAATGCGGGAAGGGGCTTCCAGCGAGAAACTGTGTTGTTCGATTCAATGTGACCGACTCCTTTGCAATCGAATCGAAAACACGAATACAATCTTAAGGAAATACTTTTCTATTTAAAAAAACAAATTTATTACAGTGTAAGACTTTCACGTGTTTTCTCGTGTTCCATGTGTGGTCAGAAATGAGGGATGGGGTCTATTCACAAGAAGAACAAGGTTCATTGTAAACGACTCGTTTGCAATCGATTCGCAGAGACGAACGTCAGCTGGAGCGCGGTGTTCGAAAGAGTCGAGTCAGTGAATCGAGTCCTGATACCCATCACTGGGGAGAGGAAGACTCGCCTGAATGCCGTTGGAAAGGCGGACTTATCCAGCATTTTTTGAGTGAATGGCTGAGGCGATGAAAGCGCGGTTTCAGAACTTGCTTAGGAGAGATGTCAAAACGGAAAAACAAGCTGTAAGTAGCCCTGTGAAAAGTGGCAGACTTTTAAAAAGGTTTCTCTGTTTTTGGGGAAGTTATGCAGCGGCTTGGTTTTGATGTCAAACTAAGTTAACCGGCAGGCAGCCTGGGTTAGCTAGCATGCTAACTGGTTAGTCTGTTGGCTTTAATGTTGTGCTCTCTTAGACCTGAACTGGGTTATTACGAGTCCAGTTTAGTGTCTGTAGCTGGAGTTTACCTGGGTTTTATTTCGGAGACACAACTTGTGACTTGCCCGTGGCTTTGTGGAGGCTGGGTGTTGTTAGGGCAGTTTATTCGCCTGTTTTTATTCTTTTAAATAACGTTATAACGTTAACGTTCGCTCATTTGTGCTGAACGGTTCGGGTTAACTTCAATAGTTTCACAGTTAATCTGCCATGTCTCCCAGCACTGTTAACCCTAGTTTAGCTTCTGTAAACTGTAGCCAGCTAAACCTAGCACATTTTTGCTCGTTTAAAGTCGTTTTTGTCTTCTTACTTAACAAGTTTGCTTTATGTTCTCAACTTGACAACGTACAGTCAGCTGGCTGGCCTGCTAGCGAAGTCGCCCGACACTGTTTACATTTTGAAGGGTTAATAAATGTTAAGGGTTAATATAATGTTGAGGGTTAATTCCGTTCATCACTGTTAGGCTCTGAAGGGTCTGTTGGGCACATTCCTGAGCTGGTGTTGAGGTATGACAGGCTGATGGACATCGGGCACACACGACCCAGGCAGGTCATGTCTAGGATATGGATTATAAAAGGGGATTTCTAGTGATTTCCTGCATAATCAAATTGTTGAGATGTAAATAAAGTCGTTCAAAGTGGTCTGATGTGAAATTCATTATTCTAGAGCAGCTTACTGCCTCAGAATGTATACAGCGGTGGTGATGGGAACCAGACGTCCGAAACCTTTAAAGGGGAATTCCACCAATTTTTCAAAATTTCTGAATGAGTCAGGCCTTGAAATGTAAACAAAGTCATTCCGAGTGGTTTGACGTGAAGCGTAGAGAAGTTCTTTGTGGAGAAACGTACAGACTCTGATGTCTTTACAGTGGTGGTGATGTCTACAACCTAAATATAGCCACTTTATTTACTATCCAAAACCACCAGTCAACCTACCTGTGTCTTCTGAGTTTCTATGTGTAACGGTGATGATCGTAAGAATAGTGTGTTTTGGGGCTAATTTTTACCTCAGAATGCCTTTTATGTAACCCTTTGCCATGAATGAATTAAGATAATTGGATTAAAATACATTTTAAGCTGAAACTTAACCACAAATCTATTATAAAACAAGATGTGGGACATTAGGCAGCATGTATGTAACCCTTTAATGTAACAACTGTCTGACAGGCTTTCAGAGGCATTCAACTCTGTAGACGTCTGGTTCCTATCATCACCACTGTGAACAGTTCTGATTCTGCAAGTTTCTCAAGAAAACCAATATGAATGGCTTTGTTTACATCTCAACCATTTAATTATGTTGAATTTTTAAAAACTGGTGGAGTTCCTCTTTAATGCCTCTAAAATCAAGAAATAGTACAGAAACAAGAAATAGTTAAGAATACCTTGCCTGATGCCTGGAACATTGATTTACCATAGCTCAAGATGAGGTTTAAGATAAAACCATGAGATGAAACCAAGGATGTTCAGAATGCTTTGATGTGAATTGTGCCATCCTAGAGAGTCAGAATATCAGAATCATTCACAGTGGTGGTGATGGGAACCAGACATCTGAAGCGTTTAGTGCCTTTAAAAACTCCTTCATGCAAAGATATTACATTAATTGACTATACTGTGCCCAAGACGTTGTTTTATGATAGTTTTGGGAGAAAATTTGGCCTGAAACTTTAATGTTTCTGTTTTAACTCTGTTCTCAGCAGACAGGAACACAAAAAAATAAGTTTCTCAGTCAGTTTCAGAGTCAGTTTCTCTACTTCGGACCCTTTCCCCTCAAGCTATTCTTTACACCTCAGTGATTAAATTATGCATAAACTGTGAACAATCTATGGAATTCCCCTTTAAACAAATTACATTTTGAAAAAAAGGTGCTTGTCTGCAGTGTAAGGTGCGCTGTTCTGTCACTTTTCTGTTATTACCAGAGAGCCAGGCCTGGTTTTTGTACACAGAGCAGTATGGAAAATAAGTTTGTGAGAGTGGGAGAGAGAGAAGGAGAGGGAGAGGAAGAGGGAGGGCACTACTCGAGTGAAATGTTGTTCACAGTCTGCATGTGTGTTTAAGAAGGACTGCGACAGAGCGGAGATAAATGGTTTGTTAGTAGTGATGGTTTATACAAACCTTGATGACCGAATTTCCAGTTAAATGTCAGAAACGGACTCCACACAGAACGTCTCTTTTTCTCTCGTGCTCTTTGTGGGCTTTGCTTGTGCTCAGGCCGCTCTGAATCACCACCACATGGTTTGCTGACAAGGCCTTCTTGCATTCACTGGGTTGTAGATAAGGTGTGTGTTTGTGCGAGACAGAGAGAGCTGGTTTGTTAAGCCTCAGTTTGTTCTGGTTAATTAGGTCAGATCTTACCGGTATGTTCATCCACATTACAGAGACTGGAGGGCAGGTGTGTGTGTGTGTGTGTGTGTGTGTGTGTGTGTGTGTGTGTGTGTGTGTGTGTGTGTGTGTGAAAATTGTGATCGATTCTGCTTTTAAGAAGCTAAAACCTTCGATAACCCATAATATAGGCTGATGTAATTTTATGTTGTTAAAAATCAAATGATTTTTTCAAAAACGATTTTTTTTGGTCAGTTTGATTTTTAGTTTAGTTAATCCTGGGTGACAATATTTTATGGTACCGACCAAATTGCTTAAATACTACAGAGTATTCAAAAATTCTGTCTTATTCACAACTGATTTTCAGTACCTAATTTGTTGGTATAATTAAATGGTTGAGAAGTAAATAAACACGATCAACGTGGTTTGATGTAAAACGGTTCATTCTAGAGAAATGTCTGCAAAGTTATTGCCTCTAAAAGCTCCTCTACAGAAAATTATTACATTAAATGGTTAAAAACACACTGCCTGATGTCTGAGACATTGTTTTACAATAGTTTGGAGAGAAGATTTTGGCCTCAAATGTACTGTCTGAGAGCCATTCACTGCAGAGAGATGCAGGTCGTTGATGAGGGACAGTAGTTCCAAAAGAAAACCTATTTTTCCAGATGTAGCACTATTTTACCCTCATCAGCATTACATACAAGACTCAGAAGACACATGTACATTCACTGTGGATTTTGGATAGTACATAATAGGGGTGCGTCAATATTTTTTTTTTCTTCAAACCGAGTACAAACATGTGTTTTAGCTCTTGCCGATACCAGTACTGTACTGAGTAATCTACTAATAATTAAATATCTTTTGCTGTACATGAGTACAATGTGCCTTAATAGTTAAATCATTAAAAATCCAGCTGATTTTAAAAGTTGTGCATTAGCTAACTGTGCTAACATTAGATACCTTGGATCAAGAAGTGAGTGCAGTGAGAAAGAGTGGGTTTTGTTGCACGTCAGAAAAGTGCTTCTGTATGGCTGTAAGCATTGTACGTTTCATAGTTTTGATCCTCATCTGTCTCTTTCAACAACAATCTCTGTAGGACGGTGACAGCAGGAATCATATGCGAGGCTAAAACTTCTGAGGAGCTCTCTTATCCCGTTGGAGTCTTTTTGGCTGGTTGAGCTGTAGCTGAATGTCCTCTAAAGTCAGGCATACACTGTGATTTTCTGTCGATTGTTCATTAATGTACACTAGGCATATGGCAGTATGAGTAAATGAGCACTAATCAGGCTAATACCCAATACCAGTATTAGTGTTGATGCATCCCTAGTAAATAAAATGCCTGTATTTGTGTTGAAGACATTGTGACCCCTGGTTCCTGTCTCTTCCAGTGACTTTATTTACAATTCAGAAGAAATTCAGAAAAAATTGGTGGAATTCCCCTTTAGCGCTGGCTTTTATTGGGCAAACAATGCATCGGTGGGCCCTGCTGTGTGTGAGAGAGTCACATGCACTGTGTGACACCTCATGTGACCAGTGCTCTGTGCTCTTTTCATGCTCTAGCAAAAACAACATTATAAAACTTTGCTCTCCAGTTAAAACCTGTAAGTGTTTGCTTGTTTGCTTGTGAGTGTGTGTTGGTGTGTGGGGCCATCAGGTTCTCTTTTTGTGGTGTTGTGAAAGTTCAGGGCTTTTAAAGCCACTGAAGCAAACCCGTATGAATGACCTCAGTGTGTTGTTTTCTCTCTCTGACTTCCACTTTGACCTTTGATTTCTGGACTTGACATCACTCCTTTGGGTCTGCCCTTAAGATGCATGGGAAATGGGAGTGGAATTCCCCATGATCCTTTCTCCTTTACACACACAGGCACAGCTGTTTTATGGTAATTTATTACTGTTAGATATGATGGATACACTCTTCCTAATATTTAAGAATGCTTGGCTTTGCCTGAAACCGCTGTTGATGTAGCTTCTTCTACTCTTGTTCCAACCCCTCGTTCATGATCACAGTACTGATCAGAAGTTTGGAATCACTGTCACTGTCAATTTTGTTGCAGATAGATGCATAAAATTATTGTAAAGACGTTTATTCCACCAGGCAGTGTGTTACATTTACAGTTTCATGATCACGCATTTTGTCGTCGGCGCCACTGCTAAGCAGGCCTGGTGCCCTAAACCACATAGCAAGGTGTAGCTGCGCATCCACATGTCAGAAAACAGCTGCTAATGAAAATAGAGGGTGAGAAATATACAATCTGTCCAAAAAAGTCACACATTCAGGAGGGGGTCAACAGGAGAGCCACATATTCAGCAAATAAACAAAGGTCTACCTGTTTATTTATCCTCACACAACATATAGTGCCACAAAAAAGGCAGTTCAAAGTGATGTGTGCAACTTCTTTACTTGATCTAGCATTTTATATGGGGTTTAGCATTGTCACAGCACATAAGAAGTGGAGTTTCACTTTGTTTTTTGCTGCTTGCCATTATAGACACATTTATGAAATAGCGGGGTTGGTGGGACACAATGATGGGTTTGTGGGGCATTGTCCCACTAAATGACCCTCTGACTCCAGGCCTGTTGCTGAGTCAACCCTACCGTACCTGAGTGCCCATGCTGAATTTGGTTACCCTTCTTACGAGCGTACCAAGCAAAGTGAAATGGGACATATGGGCAGGGCTAGACATGGGGCCAGACCGCTGAGTGGTCAAACAGTCATCAAGCAGACAAAAACAAGCAGATCAAACAAAACACTGTCTAGCCAGAATCGCTGTCTGTGATGCTGCATCTTCACAAAACCAAATGTGGAGTAAGATGTAAATCAGAACCTGAAGCGCTACTGTTTATGTTTACTGTAAACACTAGTGTCATGTGGCCACCACACAACTAATGCCTTAATATAATTTAATAATTAATATGAATAAATTTTAAAATTCAAATGGACTGTTTTTACCTTTGTTCATGTCTTTGTTCATGTTAAGCACGATTCATCATTCAAAAGTCAATTCTTCTATTATTTGTCGATGCATAGTGACGTTTGACCTCTGAATGTTTACACCACGTGCTGGGAAAATTATATTAACCAATAATATCATAGCATGTTTTCCCTCTCCTTCCTCCTGCAGTTCTTCCTGTACTAGCAGGATTTCTTCCCCTCCTCCAATGTAAACTGGTGTTTGGGTCTGACTCCAGACTCCGTAAAACAGGCTGAAATGGAGTTCTGTGTGTTTTCTTGGCTTTAGTCAAGCTGAGATTTCCCGCCTCGGCCTCTTAGCTGGACGTTTGAACTGAGCACCACCCGTACTGTAAACATGCAGCAGTGCAGCTCATCCCATATCACTCTCTTTCACTTCCTCCCTCCCTCCCTTCCTCACTTACTCCCTTACTCCTATACGGACTCACTCACAGCTGGCTTATATAGTCTTGATTCCCACATGAAAGTATCTGCTGCATATGCTCCTCCATTCAGTTTGAGAGCAAATGTCATATTGCAATTTGTGAACTGATGTAATTAACCATCCTCTTTACTTTCCCTTAGTCAGCACTTTAGTCTTTTCTCAGGGTTTAGATTTACTCAGGGTTATTAGTGACTGTTGGTTAATAGACCAGTGTTGTTCTGTTCCAGCCCTGATCACAACTGAGGAAGCTAAAGTGTAAGAGTGTAAAAAATACAGATTGGCTTAGGTGTTTTGGAGGACGTGAGTAGAAGACATCAGGAGTTGTCAAAAGCTCTCAAAGGCTAATATTTAATATTTTATTTTAAAGAATACAACCAGATATGGAGGTGTCCACTACATCTTTGACCTACTTTCTATTCTTGTTTTTAGTGTATATGCTATTTTTGAACATGAACTGTTTTAATTAACATCTTTAATGAAACTGCATATTAAATATAATACTATAGTATAATAATATAATATTGTATATTTACTGTAATATTGAGTAATTCCACTTTTGAAAATTACATCACCTGTCATTATAATAGATGTAACCACAAATGTGTGCATTCATGAGCTTCTTCTGGTGCAGATCATGACAACTTGCATACTAATAACGCTCCCTGCTGGAGAAACTTCAGAATGCAAACAATTTCCAAAGCCACATCCACAAACTTTACATATTGAAAAACAAGGCATTTTTGTCGTTCCTGCAGCATTTTCATATTTCGGCTAACCACCAGGACACTTAAGCTGTACAGAAACATACTGCAAATTTTATTCAGTAAATCACACGTAACAGAGACAGTGGGGAATTTACTCTACCACAACTTTTAAAGGTCCTATAAATACACAGTATTTCAACAGTAAAAGTGAAGAAAACATTACATGTGCATATTATTCATTACCTTTTTTTGATCCTGTGTCCCAGCTGTAGACGGGGATCAGAAGAACGTTCTCTCCAGATGAGAGGTAGCAGCTCAAGGGTAATAATCCAGGTGTGTTGAGAGGTTGGGCAGTTAGGCAGACAAACAGCTCTCCCGTTAGAGGCAAAGCAAACCTGGACAGACGAGACGTACTCAGGATGTGAACGTTTGAGCGGGGGAGTGAACTGGGAGTGTGAAGATCGGAGAGGTTGGGCACCTGTTCCACTGACCACTGATAGCCAAACTGCTTTCCCCTTAAAGATAAAGGTGTAAGTGAAAGTATGGTGGTGGGGTTTGCTGGGGGGTCAGCGATTGGTTAGGCATGACCGTGGCCCCCTCTGGCCCCACCTTGACAGTGCCATTGTATTCAGCAGCTGAAACTTTGAGTGCTTCCACATATAACACAGTTGCCCAGTTTCAGCGCTGTTTGATCACAAAAGCAGAGGGCTAACTAATCCTTTTGACATCCTTTTGAAAAAGTTGATGGGACACAGCCAATCTTCTTGGTTGTTGCCGTGCCAATGCAAAAGGTCAGTGAGGTCACATGGCCAACGAAAGTTCACAAAAATTGAACAGAAGGTGAATAACGTGATATCATGTTTCTGTCCTCCCAGAAATCATGTGTGGTGTTTAAGACATCATCAGCTATACAAGTGCTCTAATTAATTTACTGTTGTAGGAATAAATCTCACAAATCAGTTCGCTTGGGGTGTAAAGGCCATTAAAAGTATATTTACACCCACACGTACCCTTATAAATCAGATTTACAGAAGTGTGTTGGCTTAAAAGGAGGCTAATAAAAATCGGCCTAAATAAATGAGAAAATGAATAAATTGGTATTGGATTGGTGCGCTACTCATTCGAACATTAGATTAGTGAGTTCAGCTGCTGTCTGAAAAGTCTTGTCATATTTCTATCTTGGTAGTTTGATTAAAACATTTCTGGATATGTGTTATAGCACTTTAGTGCATACATTTTTAATATTTTACTCTCTGTTTCACTGGGACCAGAAATGTAGTCTCCATAATGGAGGATTCTGCTCACGTTAATGGACTGAGCAGTTCTCTTGCTGCCAGGCCCTCTGAGACTCGAGTTCTCTTTATTTTCAGATTAGTCACTGTTCTGCCAGCCTTTCTGACTTCCTCTGAGTGCGAGTGAGTGTGCGTGTGAGTAAATGACTGTGGGGGTTTGTGCCAGAACAGCCGTGTAAACAGCGTTTGTCTGACTTTAATGCTTTGATTCACCCTTCGTCTCTCAAAGAGAAATGGCACTGTAGGAGCAGATTGTTGGCTTGATGAATATATGAACCATTCTGTCTTAGTTGAGCTTATTAGTGACTTTAGTCACGTTCTAGTGGGCTGCTATAAGTGCACTCGGGACCAGACAGGTGGAGCAGGTCCAGAGAACGAAAGACGAAAGCCTGAGAACTGAGAGAGCGCTGCACTCTTGGTGACATCACCAGCAGGTTACATTGTGAAACATTTCTGGACTTGTAGCACGTGTTTAGACTCAGCTCAGGAGGAGGAGGAGGGGCAGACAGGACTAGTTCCTACAAGACCCTGAGAGGTGGAAGAGAGAGAGAGGAAGAAAGAAGGAAAAGTTCAAGTTTTGGTGCCTTCATCGTAGAAAGCCTTGTGGATTAAACAGGGAAGTACTGAGGAAAAGGAGACATACAGAAAACATGTAGAGAGAGAAAGTGAGCAAGACAGATAGGATCAGGATTCGGCCATGCCGTCAGTGTTTAGTTGGCTGGATAAGGTGAGTGTTTTAACGGGTATGTGGCTGAGGGGTGGCCGATGTGACAATATGATGTTGGTATCACAATGAATTGTGTCATGATAAGCTTTTCTGTGTATATCATGGATGCTGTCATCGCCTAATGAATGCTGAACAGTTGCATGTTTTCTTAAAAGGAGCATTAGTTGAGGATTCCAACTGGCATAACTGTCCAAGGTTTTGCTCTGTTGTTGGGAAGTTGTGAGTTTGAATCATGACATCATGTGTCTGTGAGAGCATTTTGTAAATGTAGTATCATGTTATGATAAATTATATTGTTGCTATATTGTCCTCCCCTCATGTAGCTGCCTCTGTTGTAGCAAGCAGGTCTAGTACACCCTGTATTATGCCAATGTTTGCTTATGGATGCAGAAGGCTTTTTTCATCAGCACAGCTGTGGCTAATCAACCCTTTATGGGTGAGGAGTCTAGATATGACAATGCTAGTGAATCATTTATGTGCCTGTAATGAAATGTTTACTTCACTGCATTGATATAGCAGTGATACATATAATAATACTGCTTGAATGATTAGAAAACTTGAGTGACAGCTTGATTAGTTTTTGATTAAAAATAGAAGTTATGTAGATGATGATTCATCTATACTGACTGGCGGCATATCTTAACTAAAAGCCTATGCCTACTTTGGTGACTTCAGGCATGGTTAAACTCAGACATGGTCTTAAACAAATAGTTTGGGGAAACTTACTCCAAATGTAGTTGGTCATAGATGTATTTGGTGGCTGACGTTTTTACTATATTGTTATCTATGTGAATCGTCAAAATTCAGACTTTGAGATGCTACTATTATATAGCTATACAACTTTCTTCTGTTCATTTTTAAAGGTAACAGTATGTCAGACTGTGATCAGAAACCAAGTCTGTTTGAGATCACTTAAAGGCCCTGCACAGTTGTTATTTAAACTTGTGAAATTACGTATTTCACCCAACAATTTTATGGATTTCAGTTACCCCATCGGACTGATTGACAGCCTCTGCATCAAACGTAACCACCTGGATGGGTGGGCACAGGCAGAACCATTTAAGGTGGAACGGGAAAATTTGAACAAGAAGCTGGCGTGCTGGACTACTTAGCTTCGTGTTGACTTTTATATTTCAAATGAAAAATTTTCGATTAGTTGCACAGAAATCTGACCGTTAACAGGTTCTTGTTCAGAATCTACCTTTTCAGGTTCATACAAGGCCGCATTGATGTGATCTGATTTCCAGCCTGCACCACACTGTGGTTCCTACACCTCAGATTTCTGTTTGTTAGCCAGCTAATGTTTTGCATTTCAGCTGTGCTGTTGGTCAGCTTCTAATTTGCCAGCTTCTTGTTCAGATTTTCCCATTCCACCTTAAATGATGCAGCAGGCATTATAAAAACTACTGCGCCATTTAAGGTGGAACAGGAAAATCTGAGCAAGAAGCTGGTGAATCGGAAAAAAACCTAAGCCTCATATTGTTAACTGTACATTTATAACTCAAATGACTTGAATATGAGCTGGATGATGGAGGGTGCAGGTGCCCTACAGATAACAGGAGGGGTCTCTGTCAACGTTAACATTACTTAACGTTAGATAACATTGTTGTAAGGTTGGAAAGTTAAGTTAGATAACAGAATTAGCTGTTAGAATAAGTTTCAACTGAAAATTGTTATTTAAAAATAAAGATTACCATGTTATCATCCACATTGCCCCCAGTAAGAATCAGGAAAGCTGTTCCTTTCAGCTTGAGGTGGCCGGCAAATCCAGAGCTGTATTGAGTCGGCAACTAATGCATGGTACAAACTTTTGTACTGGGTGTCACTTCAACCCCAGAAAGAAGCCATTGAGCCATTTTGATTTGGTCTGTTTTGGGATAGAATGTAGAGAGGGGTCATTCTCCCTCCGGCATCCAAAAACTGAGCTTTTGTAAATGAGCATCGTCTCCTAGTAGCTATAATGTTACTCAGATAGAGCGATGCAGAGCGTGTGAAATGTGGGAGCGTCAGTTGATGTCACAAATATTCATGAATGTCACGATGTTCATGAATATGCATTATAAAGTAGCTTATGATTGGCTGTAGTCAATTAGCGATATCTGTGACAACTAAGATCACACCAAACACTGAAGTGTAATTCCTAAATGGTGGTTAGGGGGCAGTCGTTTTATGCAGTGCCCAGTAAATGTTGGGCTGAAGCAGAAGTATGAATATAATTACATACTTCCTAGTAATATAAGATTTTGAGTAAGGAGGAAAAATACTGTGTTGGGACTCATAATAGGGATGTGCATTCTGACTAATTTTCATATGAGAGCATCTATTTGAGAGTTTGAGTGGCTGTTCAGTTTACCGGGGAGAAGGGAAAATAAAAAAAAAAGGACTGACTTTGGTCGAAGGAACAGGTGTAGGTTTACTTCCTAACTGGTGTTAGGAGGCTAAAACATTTAATAGCACTAAACTTTAGCAGCACATTGAGAAATCCATTTAAAAATGTTTTATCATTTAATAATAGCCATGGGAAATTAATGTGTTCATGTGGGATGACTAATGGAGGCTGCCACTTCTGGTGAAACACTGGATGCTGATGAGGACTGCTCATCTTCTGCATGTGGTCTCTTTTCCCCATTGCATGGTGTGCCCACATGTTAGTTTGTCAGACAGAAATTGCAGCCTTGTCTGCCGTATAGGCTGCGCACTCACCTTAAGGCATTGGTGTTTCATAGTAGCAAAGTATAATATTTCCTCACAAAAAGAAGAAAATGGTGAGATATTCTAGACCTGTTAAAACATTATATCAGTTACATTGTATTGTAAGCCTACATGTTTTCTGTCTTCCCCCACTGAAACATAGCAAGTACCCAAATAGTGATTTCAGTGTTCTGCGCCTTGAGCAATCAACCAAGTGCTTGAGTAGCTGGGCTTAGTCTGCAGTTTGTGCAATGCTAGTTGGTGGGATATATACTTCCATTACTTGTTACAGCTACATTAGCCTGATAACTCCAGTGCAAGACACGCTGGAGGATCACTCGGTGGCAAAACTCAGTGGAGGATCTCCGTCTCCTTTTTTAGCTTCTTTTCTGGTCTTGGTTTTAGTCCTAAGCTAGGCCTAGTATTGGTTTCAGCTTCTCTTGCACCCAGACAAGGTCATTAATTGTCGCAACAAGTAAGGCTGGTTTTTGGGACAGAAACAGCTGTTATCAGTCAGTGATCACAGCACGACAAAAATGTGGCGACTGCAACTTACAGCATGTATGTTTACTGCACTCTGAGCTAGATGGAATGGCCTTTAGGGTTATTTCATAAATTCCTGACAGAAGCTGAAGCTCATGCTGAAGCGCTGCCTTAGAGAAGGTGTGGTGCTCGTAACAGTCGTGCTGTTTTGAAATGGCTTAATGATAGAATCAGCATCTGTCATCTGTTGATGTTTGTTTGCAGGTTGTTCTGTTATGGCCTGTGACTTTAAGCAAATCGTGCTGTAAATAAAGCGGAGTGAATGTCTTATAGATACAGAGCTGCGGTTTAGCTCCATATCTACTCAGCTGTGATGAGAGATAGTGTGGCTTGCCCATATACAGGAAGCCTTGTGTGCCTGTGTCTGTTTTATGATGTTGTTACAGCAGTGTGTGAAAAGAGTTTGAATAAATTGATGACTAATTAAAGGAATACTTGGATAGAAAATGTAATTTGCCAAGACCTGTTTGGTGTCTGAGGTTTGCTTCGTTAGTTTTGCTCTGGAGCTTTAAGTAATGTAGCTAATAAACAGTAAATGCTTCTAGCCTGATAAATAGCATTGTGCAAACTGCATGGCTATGTCATTACACGCTTGCTTATGTGTTCAACTGGGGTTCACTCCCATTTTAGCCCTGATTCGGAGTCTGGCTGAGTTTGTGCCGGTTGGCTCTAGTCTGCAGATTTTGAGGCAGTTGGGAGAGAAAAGCAAATCTGATTTTTTTGCCTCTCAATTGAGTTTTAGACCAGTCAGAGTATATCAAATGTTTGACTTATACTCACTCTGAGCATAATTTCGTAGTGTGTACTAGTCAGTGACTCAATTTGAATAGATTCCTCCAACAGCCAATGAAAACAGAGAGTCTGAAAGAAGTAAATACAGTAAGTAAACAAAGAAAAATGGCATGTATGTCTAAAACTTTAAACTACAACACTAATCACATCCTTACATTCATGACCCTCATTTAAATGTTCTACTTACGCTTTGTTTCTTTACTGTGTCTGTACAAACACAACAGTAACACCAAGTAATGGGAATGGGAATAAATAAAAAAACCATCAATTAACCTACATGTGTCTGAGTTTTATATGTAATGTTGATAGAAAATAGTAGTGAATCTTCTTTAGGCACTACTTTGCCTTACAACACTCTGCATGTATCTCTCCACTATGTATATATTGAAAAAGGCTTCAGGCAAAGACTACCATAGAACAATGGCAACATATTCACAACAATTTTGTGTAAAAGCTTTCTGTGATGTCTGTGATGTAAATTTTCGAGATGCTTTGGATGTAGCATTTTGCACGAGGCCACTCTGAAAGACTCTTAATGATTAAATTATGCAGAAATCTTAAATAAACGCTGAAATTCTTATTTAAACAGGGCCAGTTATGCTCTCATTTAACCTTTTCAACTCCTTGAGACCACCGGTGGTTCCAAAACGCACTTCGTCATATTCTTCATAACTTTCATATTTCATAAGCTTCATTCAAAAGGTGGGGGTCGTATGAGAGCTGTAACTTTCTTTTTTCCAGTTAAATAGATGGGTAATGTAATTTTAAACCAGTATAATAGAAGAAGCTGAACTCAATCTTTTTTGTCTATTGAAAGTCGACCCATTTTTCCACAAATCTGGGCTATAAACTATAAACAGCTGGTGTCTCTTCAGTGATCTACTCTGTAAAAATTATTTTTATAAAATAATACAAACAGCGTCAAAGATTTTTGGCTTTCAGCAGTAAATTGTAAGCAAATAGCAATTTGTGTA